GAGATGGAGCCTCCACTGCCTGAGCTTCCTCCTCCTCCATACCCTGAGCCTCCTCCGCCGCAGATGGAACCACCACCGCCCGAGCTTGATCCTCCATGACATGAGCTTCCTCCTCCTCCACCTCTCTTGCCACAGCTGCTGCCACTGCCAGAGATGGAGCCTCCACTGCCTGAGCTTCCTCCTCCTCCATACCCTGAGCCTCCTCCGCCGCAGATGGAACCACCACCGCCCGAGCTTGATCCTCCATGACATGAGCTTCCTCCTCCTCCACCTCTCTTGCCACAGCTGCTGCCACCGCCAGAGATGGAGCCTCCACTGCCTGAGCTTCCTCCTCCTCCATATCCTGAGCCACCTCCTCCTCCTCCACAGATGGACCCACCGCCACCACCAGAGCTCGATCCTCCATGACTTGAGCTTCCCCCTCCTCCACCTCCCGAGATGGACCCTCTCTTGCCACAGCTGCCGCCACCGCCAGAGCTCAACCCTCTGCTCTGGGGACTGCATCTGCCACTGCCAGTGCTGGATCCCCATCCTGCAGAGCTGTGGCCACCGCCAGAGAGGGAGCCTCCTTTGCCCGAGCTTCCTCCTCCTCCATACCCTGAGCCACCTCCTCCTCCTCCACAAATGGAGCTGCCACTGCCAGAGCTGGATCCCCATCCTCCAGAACTTCCGCCTTTTCCTCCTCCGGAGATTGACCCTTTCCTTCTGTTCTTGCTGGCACTGCCAGAGCTCAGCCCCCCCTTCCCGCTTTTCAAGCCTCCAGACCCTACTGCAAAGACTCCAGTAGCACTCGCATTGTGGTCAATGACACCTGCAAGAAATGGAAATTATGTGCAGCTTATTATTTTTACCCAAAAAATTATAAGCACAGCTGACATAAGTACTTATGTATCGCCAGCATTGTACCTGTTCTAGTGGTCATAGCCATATCTTTGAAAAGGGGCAACAAGGATCTTCTTTAGTAGATGCACCTATGAAATCTTGTCATGTTTTTCTGGCTTTATTAGCTTATGTTCAACATGACTTACAGATTACTCTGTACATGAACACTCAATGCAGCCCTTTCTTTAAGAAGGCCAAGAGTTCAGGTTTCCCTCTCCTTTAGCTGGCCTCCTATTTCCACAAATTTAGGACTATTTTTTTTTTTCCTTCAGTTCTGACATGCACCGCACAGACCTATAGAATAAGTGAGGTGTTTCCCACTTCCTACAAATTTGGTTGAATTAGCCAATAAGTTCCAAAGTCAGTAGCTCAGTGTGGACATATTAATGCATATACACATGTATTCACACACACACTCACAAGAGACTACCATTTGCTTCATTTCCCTAGGAAACGAAGATAGGAGCTAAGGTAGGTTGTTCTGATGGTAGCTGTTAAGTACCACAGGCAACAAAATGGTAACAGTGCTCTTAAAAAAGCAGAGCAAAGCCTTGAGATACTTACAGATTGTGGCTGGTGAGCCTTCCTGTATCCTGTGAAGGAAAAGTGACCTTGAGTTAATGCATCCGATAAAAGTAAAAGTCAGGCTAGGCTCTATCAGTAAGCCAATGAAAGAGATCACTCCTTCCAGGCAGCAATTCATCCTGGAGATCTAAGTGATAGATCGGAGAATGGGACACACTGCTTTGTACAGGTGCTTCTATCCAGGATGAATAGTTTGTACCTACCTGGTCTCCTCCTCCTCAAGGAGTGATCTATACATGGCAATTTCAATATCCAGGGCAAATTTCACGTTCAGGAGCTCCTGATAATCATGAAGAAGGCAAGCGAGATCATCTTTGGCCTGCTGCAGGGCGTTTTCCAACTCCTGAAGCTTTTGCTGGCCATCTTTGACGGCAGAGCTCCCACGCTGCTCAGCATCTTTAATGGTTTCTTGGAGGCTGGCATTCTGCAGAGGGCACAAACAGAATGTGTCCATTTCCCTTCTATGGGACTGGGATTTTCAAACCCTTCTGGCAGCCCTTGGAAATTAAAAGACCCGCCTCAATGACAGAACTCGGAAGATACATTAGACTGGGTAAATTAACACAAATTGAATCCCAATGAAGACAGCCAAAATCTAAGTCTGCTTCATTTTGAAGAGAAAACATCATCTCTAGGTTTGCTTCCAAAGGGCAGGCTACGTTATACTGCACTGAGTCCCCATGTAAAAGTGACTTAAATAGTTTAGTCATGTTGGAAAGTACCAGCTTTACCTTTTTCCTTGCAATTTCAATTTCTGGTTGTAGTCTTTGGATCTGCCTGGTAAGTTCCTGGATTTCCTGATAACTGTTCCTCAATTGCTCACGTTGATTTACCCACATGTTCTGAAGGTCCTGGTACTGAAGTGCAGAGAAGAGAACACACATTTTTGGTTTCTTTTCCATTGAGCAGACAGACTTGACTCCCTATCTTGTTGATGTCTACTCACCCTGCCCCGATACATGGCATCTACTTCAGCTTTGCTTCTCTGAGCAACTGTCTCATACTCCTGCCTGACTTCTTCAATGATGCTATCCATGTTCAGTTCTCTATGGTTGTCCATGGACAGAATGACATTGGTGTTGCCAACTACTGTTTGCAGCTGGGACAGCTCCTGCAAGGAAAACAAGATTTTGGATTTTAACAGTCCATGTGAGTAGTCCAGGTCATGTTATGAGGAAAGAAATGGGACCCTCTGGCCGGTTACCCACTGGAATTTCCCTACCTGCATCCCCCACGTCCTGTTGTTCCACCACAAGTTTTAATTCTGAAGTGTCTCTTCCAGCCTTCGTGACACACCAGACCCCCTTTTCACTCACAGATTAAAGAGAACTTTATAAGATCAAAGGCCAAGCATGATCCACTCTCCACACCAAAAAGTCCTGTTCAGGCAAAATTTCTAGGAGCCTCCAAAAGATACATGTCCTTCAAGAACTGAGGGTAAGTTTTTAATCTGAGAAGCATACTCACAGCTTCATGTAAGCATCTGAGGAACTCCAGCTCCTGCCTCAGTATTTCCACCCGAACATCAAACTCCATTTTTCCCATGTAGGCACTGTCCAGTTCCTGTAAAAAAAGCCATAGGCATATTTGTATTTCTTTGATCCAAATTCTCCACTGAAGTGCAATTCTTGCAAGACTTGGTACATTTCTTTAAAGCCTTCATTCCTTGAGTCAAATAATGGCCCACGAATCTCAGATTTCATTTGAAAAGCAATTGGAACAAAGGGAAAGATTTTGACTCTTAGAAGAAAAGAATGGCTTGGAAATAAGCAAAATAGCTGTGGCAATAAATGTGTTCCTGGAGAAAACACAAAATGTAGAAACATAGATTTCATTAATTCTTCTAATAAAAAGTTGTCTAAATTTTCTATTGTCCTATCTAAGCCACCTATAGACATTATTTAACCCCTAATAACAATGTCTCACCTAATAACCTAGGTTGTGATTGAGTGAATAGAGAAAGACCAGCACTTTTTAGATATTCATCTTACAAAGGACCGATTCAGTCTCTAGAGGAAATTACTTCTCTCCAGTCTTGCAGTAAAAAGCTCAGGTTTTCAATGACTTCAGTTAGAGGAGAGTTAGACGATGTTAAGCAAAGACCTTGCTTTTGAAAACCTCAGCAACCATCCAGTTATTGCTTTATTTCTGAGGCTTTGATTTAGCTCAGTGTCTTGGATTACTTCACCTTTTTAAGCTCCACAAATTCCTCTTCTTTAGACGCACGCTTGTTGATCTCGTCCTCGAACCTGTTGCAGCAGAGAAAAGAAACAGGTAGCTCATTGCCTGTCTTACTTTTTCAGTCAAGTGGGTCAGAAACCAAAGGGGATCATCCAAAAAGGGAATGTGTCAAGTCTTCATTTAACTGCAATTTCTGGCAACTGCAAAGGCAATTGCAAACCCTCTGCAAAACTGTATGCTAAATTAGCCAACAAAATGTGATAGATACAGATCAGTTGTGACATCCCAGTAATTCTGAACTAAACTTCCCATTTTTCAGAGCTGTGGACATATATTATCTTTTGGGTGCAGCTAAGCCAGAAGACATGACGCCTCTTCTCAACTTGACCCCACTGCTCAGCTCTGTCCCTCCCCTCCCCGCTGTCCAGGTTGACCACAACTCCACAACTGCCAGCAGGAGTAAGGAGTCCTGGGTTACTCATTGCCTGGAGGAAGAAGGGCATGAAGGAGGACAGGAGGAGAGAAGAGTGGGATAGATCTACAGGGCCTTTGATTTTCCTCTTACTGTTCTGGGTTCTACCCTCACCAATCTGCTTTAGTCTTCCAGCGTCAAAGCCAAGTCCCATAACGAACCTACTGCAGAGTAGTGCTATATGGCTACAAAACTCTTGGAGCTAAGCTATGCCATCCCAGGGCATGATTAACATTGCCTTGGAAAATTCCAGTATGCTTTCTCCCAGACTTGTGATTATTCACCTCTTTTTATAATCTTCAACGAGCTGAAGCATATTATATGCTTCCGGATCCAGCTGCTCCTTCTGGTTCTGGAGCGTTTCTAGCTGCCTCTGCAGGTTGCTGATGTAAGATTGGAAGAAAGAGGCGATATTTCTGCTCTCTTCTGGTCGGGTACTTTGCTGCTGCAGAAGTTCCCATTTGGCCATCAGAGCCTGGTTCTGCCGCTCGAGACATTGAACCTGAAAGGCAAAGCAGAAGAGCATCTCAGCCACTGGAAAGCCCCGGGAGAAACACCATCAGCGTTAGTCCCTATAGCAAAACAAATCCTAATTAATATTTCCAACGCAGTAACACCTAGAGGTTTCGTCAGGTGGGACCAACTGTAGTAACACTGGGACCAACGCACGAGACAGCTTAGCCTAAAAGGGGGGACACCTCTTTTTTCCCAATCTGTTGCGTAAGGGTATGATTTTATTCCTGCTTCTCAAAGCTGATTCTGAAATCTTTGCTGGCTTTTCATCTCTTAAATGTACAATATTTAGGGGGATGATAGGGGTGGAGGGAGACTTCAGCTGTTTCTGAAGTACCTTAGACACCCAAATACATGAGAAGAGTTAGCCCCCTCTCAGAAGACCACACGTGACCACTCTCTTCCTAGGTACACCTTGCCTTAGAGAAGAAGGTCAGAAAGACCTATAACATGCAGAGCTGGTATTTTTGGAAACCAGAGGGATAGAATCTCTTCAGCTGGGACACTAAACAGGTTATAACCTGGAAGCTGACATCCAGAAGGTTTAAAAAAACAAAAAAAGTCAAAAGCACTCCTATTTTTCAGGACTAAGCATGCTTAAAACTTCTGGGTGTAACCAACACCTTTTCTGTAGCGTAATACAAGAAACTCTTAAGTCTTCACATGTAACAAATAATACAAGCTTCCACCCTATGCAGAGACACATGTCACCACCCAAACAAAGGCATGTGTCAGGTCTGCGTCAGTGGAATTGTTTTTGTGGCTGTTTTGTTCCCCTGTCTGTGAGTAGAAACAAAAGAGAAGGCAAGACTGCAGACAGAGGTGAAAGTATTGTAGGGTAAACTAAGAAAGAGATAAAGAAGAAAGATGTGGGGGACACTGGCCACCTGAAAGAGGCTAGGACCTCCAAGAAAAGAAGTAATTTGTTTTGTAATTCAGAGAAATGCAGCATTTTGCTTTGCTTGAGAAAGAAAAACAGAACACATCAAGGATGTCCAAGTCCATCACCCATTTTTCCTGCTAGCATCAACAATTCCCAGGCACCAGAATATTGTTAGCCATGCAGAAACCCTTTTCCTCAAAAGAAAAGTGTGTTAATGTGTCGGTGACATCCCAGTAGTTTGTTATTGTCCTGCCACAAAAGACTTATCCCAAGGCTAAATGTAAGTGATTCATGCAGCGGCGTTTATAGCAAGCTATTAAGAACTTCACCCCAGCACAAGGGAATCTAGCCAACGCTGTGATTTTGGGGGGGAGTAGATGCAATGTAAAGGTCTCCCCGTGACTCACAGAGGCAGAGCAGCACCCCTTACATTTCCCCCTGCCCAGATAACAAGTCAAAAAGAGAACAGGGACTCACCTTATCAATGAATGATGCAAATTTGTTGTTGAGAGCCTTAATCTGCTCTTTCTCATCTGACCGCACTCTCTGGAACTCGGGATCAACTTGTACTTGTATTGGCCTCAGCAAGTTGATATTGACATGGACCTCCTCGATGCCTCTGCTAACACCAGCCTGCCCAAAACGCTGTCCAGCCCCCTGTTCACCAAAGGCACTTCTACCAAGGCCTCCTCCAAGCACCTCCCTGCCTGAACTTCTTCCACACATGCTACCGAGCCCTGCTTCACCACCTTGAAAAGCTCCCACAAAATAGCCTCTTCTACCAAAGCCCCTATCAAGATGTCTCCTACCACCAAATCCCAGGCACCTCCCATATCCTCTTCCTTCTCCTCCGTAGCATCCACCAGCAGAAACATTCCTAAACCCACCAAGGTTGTGGAGACTCCTGCTGCCATAACCATACTCATAACCACTGTATCTTTCTTCTCCTCTATTGTCTTCACAATGGCTTACAGTAGATGAACTTCTCCCACCACCCAGCGTGCCACAGTGAGCAGAAGAAGAACTGAAATTCCCATCCCCAAATCTGGAGAAACGTTGGCTCATAGCGTCGCTTTCAGAGCGTTAAGAGAAGACGAGAGAGCAGGTGGGGAAGGGTGTAAAACAGGAGGAGAAATGAGAATGAAGGATCCTCAGCTCCTCTGGTGGGGGTGACGAAAGTTCTCCTTTATACATTCTGGAGGAGTTCATCTCCATTCCATGGGGTAATTAGCAGGTCTGTTAATGTTGTTATCAGGTTTGGTTCATCAGGCAGCAATTAATGGCTGCCTGAAGAGAGGTCAGAGTAAACACCACGCACCAGTGGAGGAATTGTGACATTCCCCAAATCCTGCTTGACTCATGAGCTTTGCTCAGACGAGATTTCTTTATCTCATTAGCCTGCCCTCCATCATTAATTACAGTTCACACAGCTATCCGTGCAGATTACCATGGTTTGTTCTCTCTCAAATTTCCCCACCTCTTTTGGCGTTTCATTTCATGAGGCAGAAGGCCTTGATGTTGTCCTCATATTGACTTGGGGGTGGCTCACCTTGCTTCACTGCATCACCAGGAGTACCTACTACAGAAAGCAAAGACTACAGCTCCCTTAACTTCCCATTCTCTCTTTTCTCTCATTCCCAGTATATCCACCCATCAGTTAGTATTGCTTCTGCAGGGAGAGGGAAGGTGTTGCGATCTGGTCTTCTTGCTAATGGCATAAAAAAAAAAAATCTGCCTTTGGTTCATAAAGCTGAAATGGTGTCTATAAAACAGGAAAAAATGGAACCTCTGTAGCAATTTTAGCTTTAAATGAATGGATACAGAGTTTTAAATGGAAAAGAGAAAGCTCTGAGATAAACTTTAATCAATTAAAACAATCTTTTAACTATTAAAGATTAAGATGAGGTCACCTTAGGGAACAGATGGCCCATCACTTCCACAGACTAGGACTCTTGGCCTTTCTGCTATGGTTGCTGCTGCTCTTCCATGTGGGAATAGTTAGATCATGAACTAAAACTGCCTGTTTGTGGGGTGGCTTTTTTTTTTTTCCTTAAAGGCTGCGCTACTGGATAGCTGAAATATCAAATATAGAGCTGGGCTCCAAGCTTTTCTAACCAGATTCTCCCACTGAGCATCTGCCTGATCCATCCCTCTTTCCTCTTCTCACCCCTGTGCAAGACTCCACCTTTCCAGTCTGAGCACGCTCCAGTGCAAGACTCAACGGCCATGGACTCATCAAAAAGCATTTGGGAGCCAAGTCCTGCTGCTGACAATGCCTCTGAGAGTCTTCAGCCTTGACTAATATCTCAAGAAGACAACTGAGATCTGGCACACTGTCTCCAAAAGCACTGGTGGAACAACTTCCATATGGCAAGCACCTTCCTTTTGTCCCCTACACAACATTAGGAGGAGCTGGGCTTCACCTGAATGGGATGCTCTTCCTTCCAAAGGTGCTGGATAAAGCCACACTGTGAACCCTTCAGTTACATAGAGGTTACGTGGTCAGGGCTTGTAATCCTTGTTCTGGCTCCATTTGGAAAGTGCCTTGTAAATCCCCTAAATGAAAGGTTTGTAGGGAGAGGTTGTTAGACCAGCTGTTATTAGACCAGCTGAAATATCTTGAGGTGGACAAGATTTTGGATGCTTAGTGACCAGATGAAGGGCTTTTCCCAGAAGTAGACACAGGTTTTCCAGACAACCAGATGAGAAGTACTGCTTTTCCCTATCAAACTTGGTCTTTTCTAGCCTTACACCGGGAATGGCCAACTGGTAGCCCAGACCTTCCATTTGTGTTACTTTTTGTAATTAAACTTTACTAGTTACCTCTGTTTTAGTGAGAATTTCAACCAAATTTCCCACTGAATTCCCCCTTTTTTATACCTATATAAAAATGACTTGGATTGAGAATTCTGTGTCCTGCTGGAAAGAATAATTGTGGTGAAAGAAAAAAATGTGTAATGACCATGATGTTAAAAATCTGGCAACAGACCCATTTCAACACATCTGGGTAAGGTTTGCCAAAATATTAGGATATTACACAAAAATCTTTCTTCTTCTGTTTTAGTTGGGCTCAGTAGTTTCTAGATGCCGGTGCATCTCAAGAGAAACCAAGGTAAATTGTCCTCCTTCACTCCCATATTTCGGTCAAGCTGAAAGATGCTTTCAGAACTGTATCTGCTCCCTGCAAACTCCTGTGTGACCTTGGAACCATTATTAGGCTCAGGTAAAGATTAGGAGGACAATATATGACTTCATGTCAGGAGGAGGTGAGACTCAGTGGACATGACCCATGATTTTCCTTGCGAGGTCTGAGCTAAAACATCCCTTTTGCTTGCCTTAACAAGTCCTCAGCAACATGCACAAGAGTTTCTAAAGGGTTGCTGTTGTTCACCTGTCTGTTGAGTTTGTCAATGACTACTTTGGGTGCAATTCATCTTCATCCCTCCTCTTTCCATTTTGAGAGTGGCTTATTCCAATGCACGCTGCATCAGGCAATACTATAGATTATCCACATGGACCTTGGAAGGAAGTGTTATGACCTAGGGGAGGGAGCACCCACAGACCAAACAAGCCAGCTCCATGTGGAACAGTTGTTAGATAGACGTCTATCCAAAATCATTGCCGTAAATACATACGTCAGCTCGCTGTGTGAAGCAAACCAGGTGGCAATTCATACAGAACCACCGCATTGGTCTCTGAGGCAGCCATGTCCTGCTTGAGAAGGCCTCCTGCAAACCCTGCATGAGAAGAGCAGCCATCCTACCCCACGTGCCACATAATCCAGAGCACGGTGTGTAGGCTGCTGTTGTGATCGTTGCTGGCACCAGGTCAGCCTTGGCACAACAGGCCAAGCCACACCTGAACCTGTTGAGCTGGCTCCAGAAACAGCGATGCATCCAGAGAGATGTTCACCCATCCTGCGGATGAAGGGGGAGCTTCCTGTGATACCTCCCTCTTCCCTGCAATGAGTTGGCATTGCTCTCGGATGTGCCTGGGTAGCTTCTGCTCTGATCCTTTCAAAGAAACAGCAAAACAGTTCCAAACATGCACGGACCAAAAGGACCACGGGTTCAACCAACATCCTTACCACAGAGATGGGTTATCACAGAATCTACCAGGGAGTGGAAGTCTTCAGGGGCTATTCAAATAGCCACATGGTCGACCTGGCTTTTTGTTGCTGGGGATTTTTAAGATAAATTTAAACTGCATCCCAAAAGTTATTCATGTAAAATTGGCTGCCTGGGCTTCTCGTATAGCTGTTGGAGCGAGCACAGGACATCCACGTGCTATTCCTCCCATCCAGAGCAATCCGTGAAGCAGGTGATGATGTTCCTCCCATCTGGAGAAGCCTCTGAGACAGGTGACATGAGCCTGCCTTTCTGGATGGTCTCATTTCCCTCTATGGACCACAAGGGAACCTGGGGAGCTCGCTCAACTCCTGACTTTCAGGTGGTGAAAGCAACGCGAGTTGAGCCGTCCTCCATCAGACCCATGTCACAGAGACTGTGCCAAGGATTAACATTTTCAAACCATAAAGACAATTCACGACCAGACCCCAGCTTAACTAATTGAGCACAACTGATGCAGGAACCTGCCAGCCTCCACAACCCAGATCCGTCTCTGTCCAGCTCCAGTCAACCCAAATAGTAAATGGGAAGAATAAATTCTAGTACCTAGGCTAACGCTCAAGGAAATGCCTCTACGTTCTTGCAGGACCGTTTTAATCAAAACGGCTTTTTAATTAAAGCCTAAATGACTAAAATCCTGCAGATCATAGAATCATAGAATCATTGAGGTTGGAAAAGACCTCTAAGATCATCGAGTCCAACCGTCGACCCAACACCACCACCCACTAAACCATGTCCCTAAGTGCCTCATCTACTCGTCTTTTAAATACCTCCAGGGATGGGGACTCCCCCACTTCCCTGGGCAGCCTGTGCCAATGTTTCACCACTCTTTCAGTAAAGACATTTTTCCTCACGTCCATTCCTCACATTTTTCCTAAACCTCCCCTGGCACAACTTGAGGCCGTTTCCTCTCGTCCTATCGCTTGTTACTTCGGAGAAGAGACCGACCCCCCCCTCGCTACAACCTCCTTTCAGGTGGTTGTAGAGAGCGATGAGGTCTCCCCTCGGCCTCCTTTTCTCCAGGCTAAACAACCCCAGTTCCCTCAGCCGCTCCTCATCAGACTTGTTCTGCAGACCCCTCACCAGCCTCGTTGTCCTTCTCTGGACACGCTCCAGCACCTCGACGTCCTTCTTGGAGTGAGGGGCCCAAAACTGAACACAGTATTCGAGGTGCGGCCTCACCAGGGCCGAGTACAGGGGCACGATCACTTCCCTACTCCTGCTGGCCACACTATTTCTGATACAGGCCAGGATGCCCTTGGCCTTCTTGGCCGCCTGGGCACACTGCCGGCTCATGTTCAGCCGGCTGTCAACCAGCACCACCAGGTCCTTTTCCGACAGGCAGCTTTCCAGCCACTCTTCCCCAAGATGTCTCAGAAGAAAGATCTAGCTACTTTTCATCACTGCCAGACATAAACTAGTGATTGTTACAAGCCACACTGGCAGAGCAGAGGGTAGATAAATAAGCACAGTAATGTACTTATTCCTATTAAATAACTACTGCAGACCAGTACAGTGGACACACAGCAGTGTGGTAGAGTAGTACGTTAATAAATACAGTACTTAGATTTAATAGCTGTCCAGAAAAAGTAGAGAGAC